GACAACTTGTCTCAGATCTTTGCGATATAAACTCTCGACATTGTAATTGTTAAGGGCAGAATTCTTACTGGCCATATCCCACATTTTATTCTAAGTTCTTTGAAACTTAGTCCTGAAATACCTATAAGTATTTCCATAGTACTGATTAAGAAAACCTCTACTTTATCAATTAGTCTGTCTATCTCGAAGATGGAAAAAAATTACAGTTCATTGGTCAAAAGTGTTGCCCATTTACAAGCAGCTAGTGATTGCAGTCGGTAAATATTCTATTGACTGAATGTTGGTCACGCTTATGCAATAGATAGCCGAACTCGTTTCATTTGAATCATCCTCAACCCATTATTTGTCCAACTGCTGGGCACAGGTTCATTTGAATTGTCAATTTATGGAAGATCATACGTACATACACTGCATTTAGAAGAATGTCAAATAAAAATACAAAGTGGAAACATATGTATTTTAAAATTTTTCATTTTAATTTAATTTAATTTTTTATTTATTTATTACGTTGAAAGCACTAAAAAACAAAACATTCCAGTTTAACAAACAATATAGATAATCAAATCTGCCAGTTCTTATTATAAAATGTACATGAATAAAAATTGAATTTAATACTAGTAGGCCAACTGTCAAAATAATAATAAAGGCAATAACGCAATTAATAATCAATTAGAACAGCATAACATTCACAATTCAGACATTTTTGGCAAAATAGAATCTTATTTAAAAATTTATCGATAAAATTGTCAATAGCAACAACATGAATTTTTTGATGATTCATGATTCATTATTTAAAATTTTATGAAATCTGGCAACCTTGCAAATGTTATTATACTCCGTCTTCAAAAAAGACAGGCTATAATAAAATAGTATTGGGTCATTCCAGCGAAAATGACACCGCGGTTCCAAAAACTAAATTACACAATTTGGTTTTAATTGTATGGCTAGAATACGCCCAATAAATCAAATCATTAGAAATAAGTGATATTTTTCGGATATTGTACAATTATTGTATTTTTTGTCTTCATTAACGCAGCCATAGTGCAGTCATCTACAATGAAACATTTTTTTCTATAATGTTAGCAACAATTTTCGCGGTTATTTGTGCGTCTTTCTAAAAAAGTTATTACTGTCGAAGAAAATATAATTTACGAATTTTAAAACAGTGATAAGTGATTGCCTGAAAGTATATGTGGTGAGGAGTTATTAAAGTTTCAATAAATATTAATTGCAAGTCCCACCCGTCGCAATAAAACATATATATTTTTAATTTAACCAATAAATATGCAATCTATTGGCATTTGCTTTTGTAAAAGTAACAATTATGCTAAGGGTCATTATTTTGGCTTGGTTGGGCGTTGTGCACGTAAATAGGAATGTAAATATTAAGATTTGGAAGTGTGTCCCACCCGTCAAAGCGATGGGTGAGACACACTTTAAAGTTTTTACTTTGATTAAATGTTTGTATTTTCATGGATTCAAGTTTTATGATGTTTACTAGGTGTAACAGTTGCTTTAATTTCGGAGTTAAACATTTGGTGTGTTAAATTCTGACGATTGGGACACCATTTCGTGACAGGTGGGACAAGTTACATTTGAACACATAGAATTTTAAAAAATACACTGTTTATAATGTAGATCCATCATTTGTAAGCAAATTTTTTATAATACTTCTCATAATTAAGACATTTTAACACATAAAAAAAGACAATTAAAAAGTGACATTTTTCCTGTTGATTTTTAGTATCAGGAAATTCATGAAAAGTCTGTCTCCACTAGTTTCACCAATATATCCGAGCAAAATTTCTAAAATTTGGTATATTTTGACATGATACATAATTCTCAAGGATGCGGCAGCATTTTTCAAATTTATTAACGCATTTTACAAGCGTGACTTTGATTTCATGTCGTCATAGATAGTGTTTCAAAATAACCTAACGTCCGGTTAAAAAAACCGACCTCAAAAGCCATTCATCCGCTAGTTGGCCACCCTTAGAGGTGGAATATTTTCTTGAAATTTAAATGGGAACCATCTGAGGTACCTTCTTTCCAACAAAAAAAAGAATCAAAATTGGTTCACAAACGGCGGAGTTATCGCGTAACATACATACAAAAAAAAACATACAGACGAATTGAGAACCTCCTTTTTTTGAAGTCGGTTAAAAATAATAGGATTACTTTATCAGTTCTTTAATTCTGTTTTTTTTATGTTAAAATGTCTTAATAAGACAAAAATTATAAAATATTTGCTTACTAATGATGGATCTCATATTAAACAATGTAATTTTATTAATTCTGTGTATTAAATTGTAACTCATCCCACCCATCACAAAATCATGTCCCACCTGTCACAACTTAACATATTAATTTCCATACAATTTATCAAAGTTATTAATTAAGTATATATATAAAATAGAACTTTAACATTCAAGTTATCTATCACATATGAAAAAATTGCTGAACCTAATTGTCTTGATTTTTGCAATGAAGCCATCAACGAAAACGCATGAGTCGTGAGTGTCCCACCCGTCATACATAGATTATTAAAAGTTTTGAGTATAAATAATGTCATAAATTTATGTACATAAATAGTTGCAGTTGAATTGCATATACATGGGTTCATGATATTTTCATGTTAAGTCTAATTAACCAATGGTTAGAGAGAAATTACTTAAAGTTCAAGAAAAAAGGAGTCAAAATTGTCATCCACCCCTCACTTTGAAATGGCCCTATTACTGACATCTCCTAATTTTATGTGGCCAGCTTGTTCCACACTGTGATTAAAAATACGACCTTCAACTAATTCTCGTAACTGTTGCTTTTTTTAAGTTTCTGTACTTCATTAGCCAACTCCTCAAATATACCGAAAGTTATTATGTCGCGAATATCAAACTATTTAAAAAACCATCAAAATCTGGTTGTGTATTATGTATTATTTTCAATTTTTTTTAGTTAATTATGATAATGTGACCTCTAACCGTGATGAATTATTTTATTACACAGTATTATTACACTTCAGTTTCAATTTGAAATACATTGTACACAGTAGATCACACATTTTCTTAAACAAAAAAAACATGTTGTTTGTATAAGTGATTTCACATTAATGAGTCATATTGACATTTCCATTGAAAATGTGATAAAATAATGATAACATACAGAAAAGGCTTGATGTATAAGCATATGGCGAATTTTCAGGCACATGAGACTTGTCAACTTATGTCTCAAGATGACAGGCGTAGGGCAGGCCAGATCAGATCTTTGTGATTTAAAACTCTGGGTGGCACTGCAATTGTTTTGGACAGGCGTGTAGCCTACCATCATGTGCACAACTTGTTCATCCAATTACTTGATATTATAAAAAAAAGAACAGACAATGAATATTATAAGAAAGAAGAACAGACAATGAACTATAGCTGTTGTCGATTATCTAGTGATAATAGTTTGTGTCTAATTTAAAACAAAATATTTTTTAACTTTCGTCCTACTTGTATGACAGTAATTTTAGGGGGTATTTTAAGAAATTTAATAAAATATTTTACAACTTTAAAAGAACTGTATCAACATATAACCAGTACATGTTATATGAATTATTATATTAAGTATTAAATAGTATATTTACTTTGCCATTCGAGTTGGAAAAAAAGATTCTAAGGGTTGTATTCTAGAACTCTACTCAATGCTCAAGTCAGGATTTGAGTATAGTTTAAAGCACTCGAAATCATACTCAAGTCCCTGCCATTAGGGTCGTATTTCCAGTGCTTGTGTTTCTAATGCAATCCTGACTTGAGCATTGAGTAGAGTTCTAGAATACGACCCTGAGACTCAGAAAGTAAAGCTGTGCAATCCCTTAAAATTTTACTGTTGGGCATAAGTGTACACTTCAGGAAGTTAATTAAGGAATATAAGGTTCGAGCCATTTGCCAATATATTTGTCTCAAGTTCAAAATTATCTTTACAATGACTGTAATGTAAACTAATTATAAAGTAACAATTTAAGCAAAATTATAACAAAACAGTTTGGTGAAAGTAACATTCACCTGAGTTTACAATCCCTGAGATTTTTAATTTAAACTTTCTTATGTTGAATGTTTAATGAAGAGATTTTGTTTGATTGCAGATTACAGAGGGTACATTTCAGATGTATACAAATATGTACCCTCTCCTAGATATTGAAACGTAAAACTGTAAGTAAGGTATGATTTTAGAATGTTGACATACGCATATTGGCCATTTGGTTAAAGCAACCGCAAAGAATAAAAAATACCACGCGCTTTTGTTCCGGACGCACTCGTGTTTACGAGTAAAATGAAATGTTAGCTCAAAGTTCATTAGTACATGCGATGTCGCCTACCATATGCAAATGAATCAGCACGTTTCAACTTGCGTTTTGTAATTGAGAACAAGCTACGCGGCACTTCGAGTGTTTTAATAACCTCATTTAGGTTAACGATCATAAAAACCAATATGATTACAACAAAATACAACGCTACCGAGCCCCTAACGCAAAATTTGCGATAAGAGAAAGCTATGATTAGTCACAGAAAGGTTAATTTCGTATTTTGCGACGTATCCACATACTACATTTTGATGAAACAGAACGGTTATATAAACATAAATATGCAAGTATTAAGTGTTTTTGATGGGTTAAATGACCAAAATCTGGCAACTATATCATGGGAAAGTAATAGCTGCCATGATCGCATACACGCAAGGCGCACGGCGAGGCTTGGGGTCGGTGGCCGCTCGCCGGTAAAAGGCTAATTGAGCATACGGGGACTATATCCATGTCAGATCCTTGAACTTGCCAGAATACCCAAATTCCACCAAAATAAACAATCTATAAAAAATAAAAGTCATTCCCTAACGCTGCTTCCACAAGCCTCGCTGGCTACCCATGAAATGCGACACACCAAGCGAACGTGCAGTTTGACCTATTATAGTTCATACACCAAGGAATGCCTCTAAACATTACGGAAAATATGTAAAAACACACTCACCCCTTCTCGTCATCGTCCATGTCTTGAGTCATACGCATAACTTACTACTAATTAAAAATAATGGTTGGCACCGGTAAGAAAACCAAACCACACAAGCACAGACCCACACGAAAGACTATGGCGGACCAACCATTTCCGCTTTCTCAAAAGTCATGGAAAAGGGAAGTGGTCATAATGGCAACCACTAATATTTTTTATTGACTATTAGTTCTTTTTATATAACAATGTCAACAAAATAATACAGTAAAATAAATTATTTAATTAATAATAATTTATTTTGGCAGACATATTTGAAAATTCGCATTAAAGTATTGTAAAGTACACTCTTCTCAATTTAAAATTCCGTCAAGCTTTCACTAGATGCCGCTGGCTGCGATTCCTGTGTTACCACTAATGATTATAAAGAATACTGAATTCTTTGGAAAATTTTATTCCAAAATATTTATTTCAATAATTGTAATGAATTGTCTGGGATTCAAGCAAGCAAATTATATTTTTATAGAATTGCGGTGACTGATTCTATGTCCTTTTTGTCTTAATATAATGATGAATACAGGCCAGCCAATGGCAATACTCACTCCATACTCGTCCTCTAATTTCGCGCGAAATTTTAAAATATCATGTAATTCCAGAACTCTACTCAATGCTCAAATCAGGACTTGAGTATGATTTCAAACAGAGTTTTTGTTCCAGAACATTACTCAAGCGTAGAATCTGTACTTAATCGGAGTTCACTTGAGTGATGTCAGAGGAAGTGACAGCTTGCGTCTTAATTTTAGAACAATCCTCAAGATTCGCTTCAATTTTGCTATTTCCTAAACGGTAGTCAACTATAAAATCTTGTCTTGAGTGTTGTCAAAATCTACATTTACTTAAGTGAGATCATGGTTACGCTTGAGTAATTATCGGCGAAAAAATTACATTATGATGAATCCATTTGAGAATTTTGATCTTTATCAAAATATATCAATGATGAAAATCATACACGATGTTGAAAGACCTATAAGACCCATACGAATTGGAGGAACACAGATTTAAGCAGCGATATAGATTCAACCAAGATTTGGTAAAAAAAATTATTTAACCTATCATAGCAGGTGAACGAAATCAGACAATCTTGGTTACCCAATCGCACCTGAAATACAGATACTGGTTTGCTTACGTTTGTATGTACGGGATCATTAAAGTTAACGATTCTTTTATGGGGAACTGTCGAATCTGTTTTTATTACAACATGATTCCGGAGTATATGATAACAACTTTTCTTAAACACTGCATTGGTCTAAAAATTTCCAGTAGTATTATCATAGTAATTTAGGAATTATAGCGATCATCGCCACCAGTGTAAGGTTTTCATATCCCTTTCGATCACCGTAACAAATCATTTTCATTTCCAATAGCAAATTTCAGCGTAACGTATTTGATTTTGGCAATGTTAAAATTCTTCCTATATGAAAAGCAACGGGAACTGAGGCGAAACAATTAAGTATTAATAGAGAAATACGAATGAATGATTGAAAATCGCATAGAACCATGTATAATCCCAGGGCAAACTTGAGTGAACACTTGAGTGTAGTTCAGCTGAGTACAGCACTTAGTACTATTCAAGAATAAACAAAATGCTTAAGACTTGAATCAATGCTCAAGCAATGCTCCGTTGATTGATGATCACGGCGATACTTGAGTCACGTTCTGGAATACGTGTTTAGTGCATCAACCAAGTCACAGGAAGGGCTCGTAAGTTTAACGTATTATGCACAAAAATATCAAAAAAAATATAGGTACTTTTATAAGGTCGATTTGTATTAATATTTTATTACTATGAATATAAATAATATAATATTATAATAACTATGAAGCACGTTTGCATTCAGAAAAATATCTAGTCCCTGCTGGAAAATAAAATGACGGGAACATTTACATGAATGTTGTGATTATTTTATGCAAGGTAAAATACATTAATTATTCAAGAAAAATATGGTTAGAAACAGTTATCAAAATCATAGTGCAAGACAGGAACAGTAGTTATAATAACGGGCACGTCTTTGAAAATCGTTGTGTGAAAAGCGAAAGTCACTTCCACCTGTAAATAAAAACCGAAAGCGTCAAAAATTATTCTACAATTGCTTAATGATCGAGAAAAAAGCAACAAGTACTCTAACCCTGAATACGTATGAAACATCAATCATTGAATTTTTCAAGTGAATACTGGACGGTATCGTTTGAGGAATTTTCATTCTCAAAATACATGTCTCTAAAACAGTATTCGAAAACTTCTTGTGTCTCGCTGTGCATACTTTGTTGTCTTCTTCTGCATATCCAGAGTCGATCATGTATTTGATTTTCTAAAAACACATTTAAGTATTTAGTTAGATATAGCTACAATATTGGTTCCTAGATATGGTCTAGGAACCGGAGCCAATAAAGCATAAAAATATTATCGTTTTTGGGTGGCCGAAATGGAGGTAAAAGTCGAGGCTAATTTGTCCTCTAATAAATTAAGTATTCAAAAGTTATCCATAATGAACAATCTACGAACGGAATTATTCGGTCTTTCCTCAACCGATATGCAAGAAATTTGTGGCTAACCAATTCTTATTGGCTAACATAAAAATAGGCCCAAATTTTGAATATGAATCTGCGACTTGAGGTCAAAGGTTGTTGTTGATGTTGAGTCCGTAGGAATTCAATCGTTAATTTTTGCGCGTGACTGTGCGCTGCGCAGAACTATGAAAAACAAAAATAATAATAAATTGCTATGTTTCGGCTGGTTTCTGTAGGGAATCGACTTCCCGCTTCATATACACTGCCGGACACATAATTCGAGCCACCACGCATTTTCAGCCTAAGCTTAATCAATGTTTGATTGATCAAAAACCATTATGCAATTTTGAAACTTGTATACTAAACGACTTTTCCATAAGCCCTTGTTGTGTATTTGGATTTGCAAAACCGGGGGAAAACTTTTTCTTTGATGATAACACTATATTTTTGTATTCTAGGCCTTTACGACAAAAATGCGAGGTGCCTCGAATTATGTGTCCGGGAGTATGTTTTTTACATCTATGTTTGGTAAGATGCTACACTTACTTGCAACAAAATTACATTTATTTTAGATATCTTTGCATGTTTCTCGTTAGTTATTGTGATTTCGAATGGCGCTTGTTGTTTGGGCGCATAAGCTTTAAACGTTTTAATGTTGACTCTGAATGCTCCCGATCTCCAAAATTTCTTTTCAAATTCTGTAAATTCCGGTACCTGTGAATGTTATTTAATAGTCGTTTCGATCAGTCCGAAACAAAATCGTCTCGTGTATGGGGGCCCTTATAAACTTCTCTCGGAAAAAAAACCCATTTCATTTCCAATCTAGAGTAGAGTATTCTTTGTTCCCAATGTGTGGTAATCGAAAAAACCTAACAACTCGATATGATAAGTCTATGTTGTGAAAATTTTCCTTACCAAATATTCTTCTATTTGATTCACATTGACCGTTCGTTGAACCACAAACGGAACAATTTTTTGCTTTTTAAATTTGAAAGAAGCCTTTCCATCGATTATGATGTAATAGTGAACTTTGGCAATAGCACTTTCAAAACTTGAAGGCAAATCTGGCGGCAATAGAAAATGAAACTGGAATGTTATGATGCCCGGTTCCATTGTTTTTCCTGTAATATTAATATTTTAATAAAGTGAGTGTGTGTTTTTGTGTGAATTATGAAAAAATTTAATTTAAGTTACTTTATTTTCTCCATAATAAAAATGAGGAAATGCAAATTAATAATTGAACAAACATATCAAATGGGTCTATTTTTTACAGGATGCTAAGGAGTACATGTAGTTGGATATTCTGCCATAGCCCGTAATGTTTCAGAACACTTTTAAAATTAACATACACACAAAGCTACACTAGAACAAAAATAACAATTATTTAAAATGTTCATATTCAAGAATCAATCAACAAATAAGGCACAATTAAACCTGAATCTCGGGTTTGCATGGCGACATTACTTAGAATAAAATTCGGTGCTGGTGGAATTACAGGCACATGGGACTTGTCATCTTATATCTCAGGGTGACGGGCGCAGTGGCCGTGCTCCTCAGATCTTTACGGTTTAACGCTCTGAGTGGCACTGCAACTGTTATGAATAGGTGTGTCGCTTACCACCTGGCCCACAGTTTGTTCGTCCCGTCATTCACTTGGTATTATTAAAAAAAAAACAATATTAAAACTTATAAATTTAATTAAAGCCAAAATTGAATTTTGAAAAGGAACATAAATATTTTAAAACAATCAGGAAACGTGCGTCCCTGAAAAATCTACGAATTGTCGCTTACGCCCTTTCTACAAAACTGTTGTCAAACCCTCTTACAGGACTCTTTTTCAGGAGTTTTTTTGTAACGAAAATTTAAACTGTATACCTTCTAACTCATGAAATAAATTGATATCTATGTCGAGAATTGTCTTCTTGTCTGAATAGACCCTTATAAATGGAACTGTTGGCATAGATCTTGACCACTGTGCTTTACTTACACCCACAACTTTAAAACCCATATCTGAAACATATATTAAGATATTTCTTGTTTTTTTTTTATGATCTAACAAATATAGCAGATTCATATGGTTTACGTTCAACGCGTTGCTTTTGTTTCAACTCTAAAATCACAGTTCCAGTGACAATGTCTCCAGAATAAAAGTTATTCGTTGAATCACTATTAAGTAACACAACACAACTTTCCCAAGACATTTTGTTTATTTTATGTACTAATTCACCGTGTGACGCAGATAAGTACACGTACCACCATCGCGGAAACGCGAATTTCGAAATTTATCTTTCAGTTCTAATTGATTACAACGATAAGTCTGAGTACAGGAATATATAAAGATAACGTTGATAAATTAATAATACAATGTCAAACGCACTATTATGGATATTTTGGAAATATACTCTTAGCATACGTATTGTTTTCCATATTGTGTTAATGATAATAACAGGGTCGTATTCCAGAACTCTACTCGATGCTCAAGTCAGGACTTGAGTATGATTTCAATCACTACTGGAACTATGACCCTAATGGCAAGGACTGGAGTATGATTTCTAGTGCTTGAAATCATACTCAAGTCAGGACTTGAGTATGATTTCAAGCGAAATACGAGCCTAATGGCCAAGACCTGAGTATGATTTGTAGTGCTTTAAATTATACTGAAGTTCTCAGTTGAACATTGAGTAGATTCAGTCAATCACTAATGTTTGAAAAGGTTTTATTTTTTTAAAGATAATATTTTGTAATAAACGTAGTATAAATTTACATCCATGCACTGTACTGTAGTATAAGATGTTCAACACCATTATCACTGACAATGATTTACATTAGTATTACGTATTATGATTTACGTTGGTATTATTTCAAATACATAATATATAATAAATATAAAATATAAATATATATATATAAATATAAAATACAGTCTTCATGTCGAAAGAAACTGTTGAACCAATAGTACCACTATAATTGACGTTGCCAGGCGGCAGCAAATGTTTCGCTTTTTTTGATATATTTTCGCATCAGATTACGCGTTTATAGACTGCACCTCCAAGAAATGAAAGTGTTTCTTGTCCAAACGATACTAACAGGATTGGTGGTGCATTTACAATAAATGACAAATAACAATTGCAACCCTAAAAAACTACACCAACTTCATCGTTCGATTTTCGATTTTGCAGATATCGCTGTTTTGTGGTAATATTATTTCAAGAATATTTTAATATTTCTGTGTTTAGAATGATGATTTGAATTTAAAGAACTTGTTAGTGTAGTGACGCGGCTATTATTTTACTTTGTACCTCCATTGTTGTGTAATTTTCAGTGTCAATGATGATCATACGCAAAATGTGCTAGGTTATGTATTCTGTCTTCTAAGGTGAAAAAGTGCGTAATTGTAAGCTATTTTCGTTTAATATCTCTATAAGAAAGACTGTAATTTCGGTTTTAAAAAAATATTTACTTTGTATGGTAAATACTGAAGAAATGAGTACCGGTATTTTGTTATCCTGCGAAGTTGGAGTTTTAAGTATATATGTAATGTGTAGTTCTGGTTTTCACACGATTAAGCGCCCTATTTCTTCGCCAATGCAGATAACATGCACGCGCGAACGTTAACTTTTTTTTATGTAATCACAGTTTCTTTTCTTATAGTTAGAGGTGGTGGGCGTTTAAACGAAAAGCACTTTAAAAAGTCTGCTTTTTAAAGTAAGCGCATAAGCACGCTTTTCATTTTAAGCGTAAGCGTTGGTCATTGGTCAGTCTATGTGTTTAAACATTTTTTCTAAATGACTTTAAGCGTCAAACTAAAAATCGTTTAAGTGAAAAGCGCTTTTACGAGCAAGCTTTTTAAACGTACGTTTTAACATTAAAAAAATAAGCGGTTTTTTCCATTTCAACGGTTAACAACTACAAAAGTTAAACAACTTATGTTTTCGAGCGCTTTTAAACGCCAATGAACAAAATGTTAATATAATAATGTTAAGTCATAAATAAAAATATAACTCGTTTATTTTCAAAAAAACTTGCCTTAAAATCTTTAGTGGTATACTCTTGCGATTATTGTGCTATCAACACAATGTTGCAAGCTTTTTTTAACAAAGCATAACATTTAAACATTTAAAAAAATAAGCAATTTTTCCTTTCTCTACTTACAGTTCATTGTAATAGGTAAATAGAATTATAGTAACCATCACTGGTAGGTTACTTACTTACTAGATAAGTACCTATACTATACAGCTACATATCTATATCTATGTAATATAACTGCTCTGTGTCTACTTGTTAATAGACATTCAGTCAGTCGTTTATTGCATACTTATACATTTTTTTCTTAATCACGCATTGTAGACACTCGGTGTCTGTACCTGTGTTTACCTGGTGGTTACCGGTGTTTACCTGGATGTAAACACATCCACAATTTGAAAAATAATTAAATTCATTGAAGAAAAATGTATTTTTCTTTATGTTAATTATTAATAATTGATCATTTGAGACACCATGTGTCTCTAGGACCTGTGTCAGGCCATGTACTCTCGTTTTCCGTCCAACATCCATCCAAAACATTTACTGCCAAATAAGCAACACTCAACCAAAACTTAAAGGATTCATGATGCGAGTGAATCTACATATTTGACATTGTCATTTAATTTTATTGAGTATTGCTTATTTGATGTTTATTGTTTTGTACAGATGTTGGTTGTAGGACGAGAGTAGACCCCCAGGTTAAGTTAAACTCCTTGGCAACCGTGTCTCAGCTAGAAGAGATTAAGAACTCCAAGAAAAGAATATCTTTTAGTCTTTTAAATTGTTTGTTGGCTCTATTGTGACTAGTAATTATAAGTGACCAGATTCTGGAATAAGGCAATAAAATACAATAAATAACTGAGTTACACTATGTACAATGCTCATGTCAAATCATCGAATATGTAACCAGAAATAGAGACGAAATACTGGCAACACATCAGGCAAATGGGCCTTATATCACTTACCTAACATCAACTGTTGTTTGCGCTGAAATCACAAATTAGAACGCTGAAATAGTACAACACCAACAATTGGCCTGTGTGTAAGTCTGTGTGTATTCCAAAAATATTCTGGATTTATTGTAATATGGATAATATCTCTAACAATGGGAGGCTGGTCCATTCGGTGGTGTGGGGAAAACAGCAAAACATCCATTTACAAAACAAACAGAAACACATTTCATCGGGAATTAAATGTAATTTTTAAATTTTCTTCCATTATAGCAAAGCTCAAGTTAGACTGGTCGCCATCCATCAATTGTTTCGAATTCGGGCTGGCCAATCAGAGGGCAGTTGTGACCGTAATGATTTGGCAGAATAATTTTCAAACAAATGGAAAAGACGTTTCATCGGTATTTCTGGTTATTACTTGATGTGTGAAATTAAGTCATATTGGTTCTTCTTTTCTTTGTAAAAAAGGGATCATTATTTTAACTCAAATTGGCATTAAACTCGGATCTATTATATGGTACTACCATTCTTACTACTATGCAATAATGGATTTTTTTTTTCAGTAACAAAAAATATGGATCCTAACATCTATGCGCTGGTGTTGGATACTCTTAATAGAGCCACCAGCCAGGACCCAGAGGTGTTAAAGCCAGCTGAAAAGAAGCTGCAAGAATGGGAGATAGAACCTGGCTTCTATTCAGTTCTTCTGGTAACATATTCAAATATTTAATAATTGGATTTTAAAACTACTTTCGAATATGTGTGGGTAGTTTTCCACACTTTCCACCTTTGTCAGTGTTGTAATTGAGCAAGAGTGAAACAACAATTTTAAAATAAAATAATTGTGATCTTTCACAGAGTCACCTTCTTATTAACTTTCAATTTGGATTTATTAACACAGACAGGGGTGTCATTGTCAACTGTTTACAGTCTTGCTTGCACTTGTGCTCTGCTTAGTTTTCTAATATTTTACTTTTTTAAGGGGTACTACCTCCCCAGAGTGAATTCCTTTGCTCTGGTATCCATATTAACTGCCTCCATGGCCGAGCGGTTACCATGCCGGGCTGCCACGCAGAGGTCCCAGGTTCGATTCCCGGGCCGGGAGAAATATTTGTAAGGCCTACATTTATTTCTCTCATGAGTTTGGGTGTAATTTGTGGTTGTCTATGTGTGTGTCCATGGCACCCGCGACACAGGGTTTACCTAGTGCGGGGCTATGTTGAGTGTGTGCGTTATTATTATATTATTGGGAAGTCCCAAGTATGAGAGCAGGTAATTAGTGTGATTGTTTGGCACATATACAGTGTGTATATTAAGTCGATGTCAAGGAGGTCATGGTCTTCAAAAAAGCCTATGGTAAGTACTATGGTAATATTCCCAACTGTTTTTAAATTAAAGAAATATATATTTAAAGATGTCAGCACATAAAGCTACACTTTGACGTATCTCGATAGTTCTAACAAAAATTTGTAGACTGATGTGCTGTTGACGTACATTACGATTTTTACGTTTTTAACACCTTTGCACGCGACTGTACACAAACAAACTATCTTAGACACCGAAATCAAAATCAGAAAAAAAAATTGGGTTTTTCACATTGTAGCAAATATCCTGTTTAATGCTGTAATGTCTTCTTGGTTGATGAATATTTGAATAAAATCATAACTAAAGTAGATAGGTACGTATTTTTTTTAGTAATTAGATGAATAAGTAGACAAGTGTTAATAATTAAAAGCAGATGCGGTGTCATACAGTTTCAATTTTTTTTACATACCCTTTCAAGTAATTAAAAAAGATTGCTTTTTTTTTCATACTACTTTCATACTACTACTTTATTCTTGATATTTATAAAATACTTTTAGTGAGGAATTTTTAATACTTAGCTCATTAAAAAGCAGGTTGATTTAAGATAATAAAGTGCAAAAGATAGATAGAAAAAGACAATTATGTTAAAGTATAGTTGCGTCCGAAAATGTGTAATGTAAAATGTAAAAATCGTAATGCATATAAAATCTTTAATTTAAAAAAAACCGTTCGGAATATTACCTAGTACCATGGGCTTTTTTGTAGGCCATAACTTCCTTGATATCCCCGTCACGGCTTGACGTCGACTTATTACTTATTATTATTATTATTACTATTACTATTATCTACTATTATCTACTTTTACAGAATGTCCTCTCAAACCATTCAATCGACATTAAAGTCCGATGGCTCGCTGTCATGTGCTTCAAGAACGGGGTAGATCGCTACTGGAGACGTAATGCACCAAATGCGATCACTGATGACGAAAAATTGAAGCTCCGACAAGGATTGCTCACTACAAGCATTCTTAATGAGCCAGTTGCCCAGATTGCTACGCAGCAGGCTGTGTTAATTTCGAAGATTGCAAGGTAAGGTTATTGGCTAAGTACTACTTAAGATTTTAAATGTGAAATTGTAGTTTTACGTTAAATACATACATCCACACACGCCTGTCTCCCATCGCCTGTCTCCTACCTGCTACGCTCCTAGCAGTCTCTTCATAGTGCCTGTTTATACTAGTACTTTTAACGCGGCGTTTTTTTAGGACAGTCCCAATCCGATTGAGATACGTACGCCAAGGTCTGCCTCTCCCTACGCTTCCATCCACATTTGTTCTTATTTTTGCCATCAATCTACCAACATTAGTTTTTTCTACTACATGACCAAACTTTTGAAGCATTCTTCTTCTCTATCCTGGTTACTACATCATCTTTAATACCACAACGCTCTCTTACTACACTGTTCGGCATTGTCTATGACTAATACCGCACATATTGCGTAAAACTCTCATTTCTACAGTATTCACCCCATTTTCATGCTATTTCTGCCACACCAAACATTCACTACCATACACGAGGTTTGGGTTCTTTTTTTGGTAACTTAAATATCATCACACCGTCTACAACTCGGAATGGCAATAGATTTTCGGGTTCATCATAACACCTTTCCATCTTTAAACATGAAAACAATTGATCCATTGCTTGTAATTATTAGCTTTGAAAACATGTTAAATTAGCTCAAATAAAATTGATTTCAAATTCATTAAGGTTAGTTTCAATACATACAACATTGTATATCGAATGATTAAATTTATAGGTTTGACTGTCCAACAAATTGGCCGAACCTAGTGCCAGACCTTGTTGGAGCTCTCAAAGCTCCACAACCACTAGTTCAACATAGATCTTTGCTGATCTTCCACCATGTCGTTAAGGCTTTGGCGTCGAAGCGTTTAACTGGAGATAGGAGAACTTTCCAGGTAAGAAGTTTTTTGTGTTACTCTGACTCTGAATTACTGTACTTTTCTCCTTTTTTCTTATATTGTCCAGTGTAGTAGATGAGGTTGAAGTGATCAATTTATTGTTTTTTCATAAGTCTTGCGTTAGTAAGTAAAGCTGAAATTTATCAACAAACTTTAACTTATATTAAGCAAAAACGGTGAGCTAAGCAAGTTTTTCTTATTTACAAAACGAACTTTGTCTCAGTTTAAGCGAGAAATTAAACTACACTTTGAGTAATTGATGAAGTAATCATAAAGCTTGCCATTTTCAACCAGCTTAAAAAAGGAGGAGGTTCTATGTTCGACTGTATGTATTTTTTATGTATGTTTTGTCACCGATTTATCTGTCAATTGTGGACCAATTTTAAAAATTGTTTTTTTTTTTGAAAGAGTATACTCCTGAGATGGCCCCATTGTCACCAAGTCAGGATCTGATGAGGAGGTCCCAAGGAAGTCGTGGGAAATCCTCAAATTTTGTGGGCATGCAGTGTGTTTGTTAAACTCTCACAAATCAAAGATTCTCAAATAGACGTGACTCGTACTCAAACACCTAAATGGAAAAAATTTAGATATTGTGGTTTTGAAGTTGGTTGATTTAAAAAAAAGTTTGTTTATTGCTTAGTTGAGTCAAAGTTCTTTTTATAAATCTTAGCCTCATAAGTATATTCAAAACAATGCGACTAATGATGGAAAACCTAAATTTTAATAGGACAGTAAAGTTACTTGTGAAAGAGCTCCTCCAGGGAAGTACTGCCGCCACCTTACCTATTTCAGCCGCCAAGCAATAACGTGAGCGTTACTGCATTCCGGTTTTGAAAGGTATAGGTGCTAGTGAAATTACAGGTACATGGGACTTGTAAACATATGTCTCAGCGGTACGCACGCAGTGGCAGTGTCCCTCAGATTTTTGCGATTTAAAACTCTGAGTGGCACTGCCAGGCGTGTCGCTTACCACCAGGCGTACGACTTGTTCGTCCCGTCACTTGGTATCATAAAACAATAATTAGTTGCCGCATTTGGTTACTATGTTACAAAGTCAAGCTAATAAAAATGTGTTTTAAATATATATTTATCTCTTCTTTTCTAGGAACTAACAAATACAGTGTACTCATTCATTCTAAACCTATGGCATGAGAACACGGAATTGTTTCTCCGGCACATCCAAGAAGGGGCAGCAACTGAAATAATAACAGAGCATCTGGAAAAGGCTTTATTGTGCCTCAGGATATTGAGGAAACTGACTGTATTCGGTTTCAAAAAAGTACACGAGAGTCAAGATGCTGTTGCCTTCTTAAATGTTGTGTTCGATAGGGCAAAAACTAGTTTGGAGTGTAGTGAGTATCTTCTACTTTATTCAATGTTTTATTTTCTTATTCTAATTTAAGTATTATTACAGAGTTTTTATTTTCTTAATGTCTCTCGGGAAACTTCGTATTTCGGCTGTAATCGGGTTTTATTCAGTTGTCCTTTGACTTTGGTACAGACTGGACGCTTTCGGATGAGTTGGAAGTATATAGAGTTAATATTACATTTTTTATTTCAAATATATTAATAATAACGCACCCACTGAACATAGTCCCGCACACAGGGAAACCCTGTGTGCGGGACTATGTTTAAACTATGTTTAAACTCACGAGAGAAATAAATGTAGGCCATAGAAATATTGCTCCCGGCCCGGGAATCGAACCTGGGACCTCTGCGTGGCAGTCCGGCATGGTAACCGTTCGGCCACGGAGGCTGTGAATTATAGCTATATCAGACGAAGAAATGCGTTTAGATACCAACTGAATTGAAATGATTAATAACCGGAAAAATATTAATTTTTAGTTATACAAAAGAATCACACTTTATTTACTTTATATATTTGTTAACTTGCTTATTGACACGGAGTAAATTTTATTAAAAATGAGAAAATAGTTTTACAGTACTATATAGTTCACATGGAAATCAAAATCAAATAACAATGAAGTACAGTCATATACACAAGATACCAGACCCCCCAACCCGACTTTGTCGACATTTTTGGTTCTGAGCACAAAAATGTGGAGAAATTGTTAAACAAACTTAATCTTTAACCTGTGAGCCGTAAAATTTATTTTGGTATGACTCCCTGGTCGTCTCATTAGTGAATGACATTGTAAGAAAGTTTTTAAGCCAATTTGATCTTTAACGTATGGTTCTTACTTGTACAGAATACAAATTTCAACCAGCTTTAGTAAGGCCGTCGTGGCCTAGCGGTATAAGGATTACTGTGCAAGTTGAGGCAAGCATGGTTCGAATCACATTAAAAATAAAATATTATTTGTACATATAATATAAATATAATAATATAATATAAATAATATTTTATAATATATATAATATTGTATTTTTTTTGTTTTAACCTCTGGATAGGTGTAAGGAATGTATAAGATTTGTTCATACAAAACAATAATTTCTAATTTTAATAATTCCGTTAAGTATATTATTACAACACGAAAGAAAACTTTGAAAGTCACTAAAATCTTGAAAGTAATTAAAACTGAATAGGTAAATGGGAACGAAACGTGGAACAATGCGTAATCACAGAAGACACGATCGTATGCAAACTGCAGAGTGATTTCGATTTGTTAGGCTATCCATACCCACCTTATGTTGTATTAGTAATATCTACCCACCCACCTTAAGCAATTTCTAGTGAGCAAATGTTGTGATTTGTCAACGTCAACATTAAAAAGTGAAACAATGCTGTTAAAAGTATAACAAAATAGTGCTCGCGGAATCGAACCACGGGTATTGTAACTGGCAGTCGATACAACAAGCCGCTCGATCAATTTACTTGGATGTTAAATGACGAATTTAAATATTTTTTTGTATCTATGTGTTGTGGCGTTGTAATAAATGTCTATTCTATTCTATTCTATTCTATTCTATTCTATTCTATTATATTTTAAATTTTTTATTGGTTTTAAAAATAATATGTTGATCGTCTTCAAGCAACACTCCACTGTATTTCTTATACAATAAAGTTGAAATGACTTTAATTTTTTGTTTGCTCAATACGTAAGATGGCTCTCAGACCCAAATAGGTCGGTTTGGGCATGTTAGGGGTCAGGTATCTCATGTATATGACTGTACGTTGTTCAAAATTCAAATTATTATAGATTTTAAATCTAATAATTAAGGGCATGGAGATTAGTATTCGTGTGCATTCGGAAATCCGACGATTGCCGAGGGACATTGAGAAAATAGAAGCACTGTACACACTTTGTCAGAACTGAAAAAGCTGTGGTAGCTTAATGGTTTCACGTACTGACTGTCAAACAGAGGCCGTGTGTTCCAATCCAGACTCGCACCTCGTGAGTTTTCCGGAATTTATGTGCCAAATTTAGTTTGAAAACCATGAGATTTTCAGTGAAAGAAAACATCGTGATGTGAACCCTAGCCTGAGTGGAGACTCGTGTCCAGCAGTGGGATGTATAAATGGTGTTGTTTATGATGTGTAAGTGATAGCACCATGCTACGCTACCTAGAGCCACTGTTTTTTTTTAACGCACACGCTCATAGCCCCACGCTAGGGAAACCCTGTATCGCGGGTGCCATGGACACACACATATGTAGACAATTATAAATTACACCCAAACTAACCAGAGAAGTACATGTAGGCTGTATAAATATTTCTCCCGACCCGGGAATCGAACTCCCACGACTACGTGGCAGTCCAGGATGGTAACCGTTCGGCCACAGAGGCTGTCTTTTGCGTTTGTTGTTGTTTAATACTACCACATGTCAATAAATGTGAGACTAGTTGTCTCAATTCTGCCAGTGTCCATTTCATGCTAGTTTTATAAACATCATGGACGGAGTGTATACAGGAAATTTGTTCGGTGACTCAGAGCGAGCATCAAAGGGATTTTTGCACAAATTGATTCCTAGAACAAAGTAGACTGTACAAATAAAGGTGGATACTGCGATCGGCGTTACGGGGCGTAATGTAACGTGTTACACAGTGAGCGTTCGTGCAGTCAGTATGGGGAAACATGGCGCTCGCAGCGAGTAACGAGCTCCACCCCGTTGTCGTTTTTTTGGCGAATTCTGTGAGTGTTACGCGCTTTAGTCAGTCGCAGCGAGTCATCACGAGCGCATGTAGCACAAACGTCGTGTTAGGTATTTCGGGCCTTTTATTAGTTTTGATTATTTGTTGTTAAAAAGATGGAGTGGGACAAAGAGAAAACTGTATTTCTTAGACTAATATAGAGAAGAACCTATTTTATGGAACCTGGGTCATCCAGAACATTATACGGCAACGAACCAGGAGCACAGGCAAGCCAAGAGTTCGGAACGAGCGTGTTACACGAATTTTAGTACGCGGCGTAACGTATCATGCTCGTTGCGAATGGTACATTACGCCCCGTAACACCGGTCAATACCCACCTTTAGACAACACAAATTGTTAGTAACATGACATGTATGCATATACAATATGTAGAAATATAGTGTTAATACACGAACAATATTTACAATTTAATATGGTTCATGTGTACAAAGCAGGGAATAATGATACATTTTTGAGTGAGAGTGGTAGGACGAGTGATAGAAGAAGGAGGGAGGATGTCATACAGGGAACATCGTAATTTAGTACTATCAAAGAATATAATTATGATCCAAGTTTCCTTCGTCGCCAATAAATGTTTCCCATACTCACATCTCCCTCCACCCGCACGTGCACGTCACACATTGCGACCGAAGTTCGGTTATAATTACCCGCGTAACAGCGTTAGAGCGTAAATTATGTAACTCTAAAACGCGACTTAGAATGGATCTTGCTGGTGCCGAAGATGACGTCCTTGGTTGGTTCGCAGGGAACGGAATATCTTTTTATCCTCATATAAGCGTTTAAATGAAATTACGATGAGTAGCGGAGTACAGAAAAATGTATTTATTTATTTTTGGAAAACCAACAGCTACAAACAATTTTTAAAAACAAGAATAGAAACAGCCAATTTTGGTTTCCACTGTAATGGGTCTATGGAACACCGTTTTATGTTCAGTTATTATAAGCTATGTATGTTATTGTTAAATAAAAGTAATAATTAATATCAATCGTCAAAACCAGTGACGTTTGGGTTTATTTTCTACCAAGGAATAGTATAAGAACTCAGTACTGAATTTTATAACAAAAAATAAATATATTCCTTTGTAATACACAGATCATAAAAGCATCACAAGAATGGATTTTGAAATGCTGTGATCCGCTTTGCGGCGTACAACTTTTTATAACTTTTGTGTAGACTTTCATGCTATAATTTGTATACTACGCTCATACAGAAATATTTTCGTAATCTTACAGGAAAACTCCTAAAAGGCCGTGGTATCTATCCTCTAGAACTTTGTGAGAAATTTATAATTCACCTCACAAAAGTGGCTATAGGCGTCTTGTGCTTCCATCCGTTCTCCTACGTGCCTCTTATTCGACCGTCTTTGGAATTCGCCCTCTATTATTGTTTCACCGAGCAAGGCATGGCGCTGATATATGAAAGATTCACAATACAGTGCCTGAATATTGTTAAGGGTATATTGCAGTGTGTAGAGTATAAATTGCCTAAAGGCATGGAACAGGTTAAAGAGCCATGTAAGTATTGATTTTAAATTACATTAGTAACTAGGAGACATTTTACATTTTTGACAGCGAATTCGGCTGACGAAGGGGGCGCAGTCGACGCACTATATACACCGAGTCGACTGCCACCTTTGCCGAAATCATATGTTAAATACATGTTCACTCATAGAGACACAACAAATCGTTGCAACGTTCAACAAACTGATCGGGTAGGTAGGTATTCCCCGGCCCAGCACGCGCATCGTGGACGGACGCGGCCGCCGACACGTTGAAACTTGTTTGGTCTGATTGACACCAAATCGATTCAGTCGACTAAAGGGTTAGATGGAGAGAGTTTATCGCACGCTTCGTGACGTAAAAACGTACGCGATTATCGTTAGCAATAATCGCCATAAGATTATCGTATCATAATGTTTACTTACATTCAGGCAAGAACTAAAATCTCGCCTACGATTATGTCATACGAGATTCGCAAGCAACTTAATCGCCTCCTCGACTGTTTACACAGAGAAATATGTAGTAAGGAGATTCTTGCTTACGAGTTTCCGACTTATTTAAACACGATCTCGAATGACATATTTTAAAGTTCATACGATTATCGTACAAATCGGTTCGAACCGTTTTGAGTGCGAGTATTGCCATTCGAGGTCAGCGGTATTGACTATGGATGTACCAAAATGACACAAAAATCATTCAAATTTGGAACTGCTGATAATATTAAACTCATTGCACTGTATAGAAATATACATTTTTTTTCAAATTTTATAACATTTCTTAATCCAAAATTTTTTTTCGTTCACGTTTCATTAATTGTTGTCTTAGAAAAGCAGTGATAATCAAAACACCCTCGCGCACTGCACTCGTGGTAGAAACGGCTAGCACAGAAACTCGAAATACGATTTTTGCTTTCGAGTTCTGTTTACACGGAGACGTTCAATATTCAAAGGCGAGGCGATTATCGCTCACGTGGACGGTCGATAGTGGCAGGGTGGACTAACATCTCCTAGATTATTCAATTTGTACGTCAATGCACTGATTGGTGAACTCAGCAGCACGCATGTCGGCTGCTTTGTTGACGGAATTTGTTTAAACAACATTAGCTATGCCGATGACATGGTGCTGCTGGCGCCATCGATCAGTGCATTGAGAAAACTAGTTGGAGTATATGTATGTATATATAGATAGACAAACAAAAAAACATAATATATATATATATATATATATATATACTTGTTTACTCGACAGAATCGATCCGGAGTCAATGCACTGTTGGCTCTAGATAATGAGGTCCTGGGTTCGATTCCTTGTAGGACCAATTGGAGAAACCGCCTTGGATTGAATTCCGTTGCCCAGCTGCTACTTATACTCCCTGGTTTGAGACCAGGTAATTGGTCTGTGTTGAAACACTGTGGGGTTTGGGTTAGATTGGATTACCTGAACCCCCGTTAAGACATCTGTAATAACATTTATTTTTTGTTTTTATAGTCTCTGTGATGATGCGACTTGATTACGTCCGTAGTAGTTTAATAAAATGTTTTAACCCTTCCAGTAACCCTGCAAGCGCATCAAACGAAAATGGAATTCCTGGACCAAAACACTGTATGCCACATGTGCAGACATTTAGTGACACATTACTTCCTTTTATCATCCGACGATTTGGCTCTATGGGACGCCGAACCAGAGAGCTTTGCCACTGATGAGGCTGGGGAATCTTGGAAGTATAGTCTTAGGGTGAGTCTCTATAGGGTAGTTCCTGTAATATAGGTTTTTAAGTCGATATTTGTTTAGGGGCTTTGATCACTATTGAAAATGATGACCAAAGCCCCTAAAGAAACATTAGAAAAACAATACATTAAAAAACTTATAGAATACTAACAGATAAATCAAAATATTATAACATAAATACAAAATCTCGCGGCACTACTTGTTGCCTCAAACACCACACCACACAAACCACCCACATTTAATGTAGCAAAACCAACCTGTGCAAATAAGCACACCTTGATCGGTTGTCCGAACACTCTTTGTGCCGTTAACACACGTTGCACTGAACTTAGAAATTTTAGTCTATGTTGCCACACGGATTTGAACCGTCGATCTCTCATTTAAGAAGCAACATTCTCCCAAAGGCCTACTACGGCTTCCTTCGATATACGAAATTAATAGTACATCTTTAGCTCATGAAGAGTGTACAGGGCATGTATTTAAATAATCTCTTTAAATTTGCAAAAGCGGCAGGCAAAAAATCTAAATGGTAATTTTTTTAATGACTGATCCTCTTTTTATTAAGACATGAAGCATATTTTAATTCTGTTCTGCGCCACGCAAAAAATGTTTGATATGTATAAATTAAATTTGATAGTTATGTTGGGCCTCACAACTAAGAGAAATAAAATTTAAATACTTATTTTAAAAACTAAGTTAATATTGATTATATTTGTATACTAATATTATATTAATTATAATATAATTTGATCTGAAAAAATGTTCTTAATCGCAAGCAAATTGGTTTCTGGTAGTCGTTGGCCGCTGCCGTGTCACGCTTTTTTTACGCGGAGAAACCCATCATGGATACCTTGCGCCTGGGGATACAGACGGAAGGTTCATAGCCTACTGAGATCTCGACCCACATGCAGACGATGAACGTGTGTCCCCACGTTCGTCGTCGTGGCTCCCTATGGGGGAAGGTGGTGACCGAAGTCACGCCGTCTTCTCCCTATCCTTCGGCGCCGGACGCCGACAGTGGCCACAGCCTCACTGTCTCTCTCCGCCGCCTCCTTCTGCGATAGGACGATTTCGCAGAAGGTGAGGACCGCTTTCCAGGACCCCTCGCTGTCGACCATGGCGCGAACCACTGTCGGCAGAGAGAGATCCCTTCCCACAACGGCGCTAAGTGATCGGCGCTCCTCCGCCCAGGCCGAGCAGACCTCCAGTATGGGCCGTCACCACGGGGCAGCCACCGCAGTCATGGCACTCCGATTCATATACTAACCTAACCTCACCTATTGAATGGAGGGCGCAACCAAGCAGCCAAGATTTATTAGGAGATCAATATCAAAAGATATACTGGTTATAAAAGTCATCAATCGTTAAAAGAAAAGACCAATAATAAAAAAATAGGATCAAATATCATTTTTGAATATCAAATATTAATTTAGTATGCTTAAACATAATAATAGAGTTACCTTGAGTGGAGTTCATTTATAATTTGTCCGTAGATCAACTAATATGTACGGAACTTTACAACAAATTAATATATGTATCAAACATAAAAAAATATAATTTATTAAAAAAAGTGCACATTTACAATAGATCACTTGTTTTTTGAGTATCTAATACGACTCATCCGTAGAACAAAGATCTATGTGCAAGACTACTTGTTCTCAGGACATAGTACATTTCGTTCGTTCTTCTTCGCTGTAGATGTCAGATTGACTGTTGTTTGATTTTATATTTCAGAAACGAAATAAGGTACATAAATTCTCAAAACACTTTTACATGGGCCTTAGTTTGAATAACGAAATGATTCTCGTAATGTACCTATTCTCTTTTCGCTATATAATCACAACGGACTCTGTTCTTTGGATGACTCGATTAATGTTATTATTTGATCCTCAAATCCATTATCTATTTCTCGCCATTTTAAATGAGACTATTATCTAACGTCATAGTCACTTTGGTTTGTTTGAAAAAAAAAACAAATATACGCGAATTTCTCACAGATGGCGCTAAGACAAAAAAAGTCGAATTTGTATCTGCAACACGCACTTAGAGAAATTTGTAAGGTCTGCCAGCAGACCTTATGCGTGTTCGTTTCGTGACTTAGGTGGGAAAGCGTCTAGCACGGATTGCTGGAAGGCACTGGTTCGAATCTAGCCTTATTGAAGGAAATTTTCTTAGTGTTCGATTTTTGTATTAACAAACTAGTGGAGTAAATTCATAAAAAGAATTGAATGTCATGATAGTGAAAGATTTACAAATTGCAAATGTACGTGATTCAGATCTGAAATAACATTTTAATTTCCAATCTGTACGTTAAATTGCAGCAGTGAACATAAACCATCTCCTTAGGGGCTACCCGTGTTCAGCATTGCAACATATACTGTATTGGCAATTATTCTGCCGTTCACTAACTAAATCGCTGCTAAGTGATAAATGGTCAAATATGCGTTTTGAATAGCAAAATATAGAGCAAAAAATTCTCTTTTAAGAATAGTTAAAATTAGTTAACATGTTCGACTTATCGGAACTTACCCTAACGTTGCATAGCTGAAATATCATTAAACAAATCGAGTTCTTAGGTTTTCGCGATTGTTATACATAGGAATGAAACTATTTTTCCGGATTTAAATCGCGTATATTTGTTTTTTCAAACAAACCGACGTTTCGGGCCCTTTACAGGTCCCATGGTCACGGTTGACTGAGGTGGTACAGTCTTCAACCAGTTATGTCTAATATTGATGCAAACCACCCTATTTTTTCACTATAGTTACAATACTTATTAATTAAATACCTTATTTTTAATTTTACAAAGAAAACATTCCAATTTACGCTAACATTAAGTTTTACAAATTATTTTATTGAATGAATTTTTTATTAAGTTAAATTTATTATTAATTATTAATAGAAATTAGAATAAATTAAAACATATTAATTAGTACTGCAGTCTTATGTCTGTTTGGGATTTTTCATTAGAGGAAATACTGGATCCCAAACTGGTGGTACGGAGAAACCATCTTCCCTGTTGAAATTAGGATGTTTTTTAATTTCAATGGCCTCTCGCAGCATCCTGGGCAGATAACGGACTTCTTTTGCAAGGACCTGGGGTTTGTCAAACTTCATTGAATGTGTAGGTTTATCCATGACATGCTCGCAGACTGCAGACTTGTTTACGCGACGTGTGTGTGTTGTCAACCGTGACCATGGGACCTGTAAAGGGCCCGAAACGTCGGTTTGTTTGAAAAAACAAATATACGCGATTTAAATCCGGAAAAATAGTTTCATTCCTATATCATTAAACAATTTCAATATTCTAAATCAGGGTTATGGTTTTTTACGATATTTCAAAAAAATATTTTTCCCGTGGTGTAGGCTGCATAAAATAGGATTTTATGCTCTAGTGCATAAAATAAGGAAAAACCATCACATTAAATATGTCTAATTCTTGTAATTTTACATTCAATTTTAATTAAATAATCGTTTATTTGTAATATTGTTGTTTAATTTCCTCGCAATCGAAGTGTAAAGCAGAGTGTAGAACTGTGTGTATAACTCGTTCATAAACCCATTTTACCCTCGAATTAAGTATCCACTATATACTTAAGTAGATATAGTACTTAAGTATATACTCGTCACGGGTAAAGTGTCGCGTTTTATGCACTAACAAGTGCATAAAACGCGTACAAATCTACTGTTGTCATTGAGCCACGTTTTGGTAAGCGACGGCAGTATTATGATGGAGACATAAAATGTCAACGTCAATGAGACGTCCATAAATATCTATTCGTTTCAGCCATGCACAGAAGCGGTATTCATAGAGCTATTCCAATTCCGCAACATCCTAGCGCCCGAGTTGGTTCGCCTGCTCGCGTCAGTGCAGCAGCAGAAGATCGACCCCGAAGACCTGCCTGCTATATTGAGGAAAGATGCCATTTATAATGCTGTCGGTTTGGCTGCCTTTGACTTGTATGATGACGTGAGTTGATTGTCATTGTTGTTTTCTACACACATTTGAAGATTCCACAAAATTGTGAAATTATGCGCCTAAGTGATTTGAAACTATTGCGATCTCGCTCACGTACTCCTGATCACATTGGAAGAGAGACGGCAATGACATTATTAAGTACTATACCATTAAGTAGCAGTGGAGTTCCTTGTGAAAGAGTTCGTCCAGAGAAGTACTGCCATCTTACCTAGTTCTGCCGCCAAGCTGTAATGTGAGCATTACTGTGTTCCGGTTCGAAAGGGTGTTGGTAAATTAAAGGCACTTTGGACTTGTCAATTTATGTCACAGGGTGACAGGCACAGTGAAAATCTTTGCGATTTAAAGCTCTGAGTGTCACTGCAACTGCTATGGACAGGCGTGTAACGCTTACCACCAGGCGTACGGCTTGTTCGTCCCGTCACTTGTTATCTTAAAGAGAAATAGTCAAGGATAATTGTTAAAAACAAAAGTTTTCATTGACACCCACATTATGAATGACGTAGTTAAACTATGCATTTTCCCAGGTGGACTTCGACGAATGGTTTACAAAAGTTTTGAGTCAGGAGCTCAAGATTAAAGATAACAATTACAGAATTATCAGACGAAGGGTTTGTCAACTTATCGGTGAGTATGCGAGTATGTCTAAATATGGTATGTTTTTGTTAAATTGTCAAATAAACCACCTAATATATAATGTATTGGTAAATTTTGGTAATTTATGTACTTTTAAATTTTTATTTAGTCCTATTAATATTAATAACCGTACGCCTAATGAAAGATGCTTGTTTAACAGATTAATAAAGCACTAACAGACTAACAAAACTATTTTTATTATTGTTAAGATCAAATATCGAACAACACAAAAAGAAATTCCTTAGATCTGACTGGACTCTAACCAGTATCTGTAGTTATGCCGGGATCACTCGTAACCAACTGAGCTACAGAGCTCTTGTCTGTAGTGTAATCACAAACTATATTCCCAAAAAAAGCACATGAATATCATGATATTCAATAAATAATATTGCAAAGCTCTTTTCTTCTTAATCTAATTTCTTAAAGTAGGAGCTTGGTGATGTATTAGTTTTGCCTTTTCGGCGACGATACGGAATCGACTTATTAGGTCAGGCAGTTTAGCCACCCGTGGCCCTATCAATCATCGAGGTTATACTGACTAATCCAACACATATTGACTCTCTGCAAATTGTTATAGGACAATGGTGCGGCGTACGGGCCTCTCAGTCCCTCAGGCCGGCAATGTACGAGGCCTTGTTGGAGCCTCTGACATCATCGACGGAAGACGCGGCGGTGAAGCTGGCAGCGGCCGAAGCGCTGAGGAGCACCATAGACGATTTCAATTTCGACGTGGAACAGTTCTCGCCTTATGCGCCACATGCACTTGCCGCGCTCTATAATCTCCTGGTAGGTTTTTATTCGGACGTCATTTTTTTTTCAGAACCTTAAAACGCTCCTCTGTAAACTTGGCAATTTCGACATACGATACTTTACGTATGAGGGGCCGATATATCCCTGGATGGCGACCCTGCCAGGATATAGCACATATATCTCTGGACCGTAGTGAGTAGTAAAGTGAGAGCATTCGTTGTCCCAGGTGGAGTCGGAGGAGTGCGACACGAAGATGCACGTGCTGCACGTGATCTCGTACGTGATGGAGCGTTGCGGGCCCGCGGTGGCGCGATCCGGCGGCACGGGCGCGCTGTTCGCCTACCTGCCGCAGCTATGGCACCACGCCGCCACGCACAACATGCTGCGCGCCGCGGTGTTGTCCGCCGTCGTGCACCTCGTCAAAGTACACATTATTACACGTTTTCCCATCAATTGCTATCGAAATATCGTCGGTGCTTTTATTTTATTTTGTGGTATTTCTTTAAACCGACTTCAAAAAAAGGTGGCAAACTAGAGGATGAATGACTTTTGAGGTCGGTTTTTTTTTAGTACTATGTATAGAGATTGTTATAATATCAAGTGACGGCACTAACAAGTCGTGCGCCTGATGGTAAGCTACACGCCTGTCCATAACAGTTTAAAGCATAGTTATATAATATAGTTATATTTTATTTATAATAGGGGTTAAAGTATGAAATTGCCGATTTGTACTGAAAATCTAAATTGTTTATTTTTTAAATTTTTAACAAATTTATTTAATCAAAATAGTTGCCATTATTATCTATACATTGCTGCCATCTAATGGGAAGGTTATTAATGCCTTTGCGATAGAACTCCGACGATCTAGACTGCACAAACTGTGTGAAAGCATTTTGTACTGCCTCCTGGGAAGAAAACTTCTTGTCACGTAGATAATTGTCCAAATCACGAAAAAAATGGTAGTCCGTTGGAGCAAGGTCTGGTGAATACGGAGGATGACGAATGGTTTCTAACTGCAGTTCCTGAAGGGTCAAAATGGTTTCTCGTGCTGTGTGAGGTCTCGCGTTGTCGTGGAGCAATAATGGTGAAGATCGATTCATGAGTCGGGGCTGTTTTACTGCTAGTTTTGTCAACATGGTTCGGAGTTCGGCACAATAGACATCTGCCGTTATTGCTTGACCAGATCGGAGAAAACTATAGTGAATAACACCATGCTGAGACCACCAAACAGTTACCATTACCTTTTTATTGGTAAGTTTTGCTTTAGGACACTGTTGTGGCATTTGACCTGGGGTCAGCCATTGCATTTTTCTTTTCCGGTAATCATAAAGAATCCACTTTTCATCACATGTTACAATTCGATCCAATATTCCTTCATTTCTGTACCGGTTCAACAAGGCAACACAAGTTTCAACACACTTTCTGCAGATCAGTCAAATCATGAGGCACCCATTTTTCGTATTTTTTTATTTTATTGATTTGACGCAAGTGAGTCAATATTGTGGGTAAGGTAACGTTAAACCATGCCGCTAATTCCTGGGTAGTTTGACTAGGATCGGCTTCCACTATCTCTCTTAATTCACCGTTATTCACCTGTGTGGGCGGTCTTCCTCGTGACTCGTTCTTTAAGTCGAAATTTCCATCACGAAAGCGTTTAAACCAAAATCGCACGGTGCGTTCATTAGTAGACCCCTCTCCAAACGCAGCATTGATATTGCGGGCTGTTTCTGCCGCGTTAGTTCCGCGTCGGAACTCGTATTCAAAAATCACTCGAATTTTCGCAGTATCCATCTTTCTTGTCTAAATTGAATAACAAAAACAATTGAAAGTCGATATTCAAATGTTTCAAATTTAAAAAAAAAAAAAAATCACAGAAACCATTTGAAAAAAGTTTCATTCGAAAACCTCAAACCATGAAGATTCTATGAAAATTCAAAGAACCTATTGCAATAAAACGGCAATTTCATACTTTAACCCCTAATATTTCTGTATATTTTCATAAATAACAGCTGCCAATTGAAGGTAGAGATAGCTTTTTTTTCTGAAGCGAGTGCGATTAAGACGCATGAACTGTGGTCATAGATTATAAGTTCGTGACCGTCAGGATGGCTGGTCGCCTGTGGCGTCTGGCACTGAGTGTATATTCAAGACTTACTACATATTTGCTACTATTTGCTACCTTTTCTAAATAATTGCAATATTTCTCAATATTTTTTTTAAATTTCTAATATATCAATATTCTGAGAAATTTAAAAAAAATATTGACCAGCCATTCTGATATCAGGATGACTGGTCGCCACTATATTCAGCATGAAGGGAGCAGATTTTCCAATAATTGCTACATATTTGTCAATTTCACGAATTTAAGATATACGCTTCCTATCTACATTAGTTAAAAAAATATAAACGATTGAACATTTTATGAGGAAGTGCCAACACCTTCCCTTTATACTATGGCAATAAAGCACTAAAAACTTGCTTTTTAAATTTATTCAGGCACTTCTGTCAGTTCAAACGACTCACGTTTTTTAAAAAAGTTTCTATGTGTTGTGGAACAGATTTTAAATGTCGGTTTTTATGAACGTAATGTATCTTGTGTATAACATCATTGATAATATCGTATTTAACTCTTTATCAACTTAAATTGATTGTTATTTGTTTTGTTGTCCATATAATAAATACTGAAATGAGTAAATATTCCATTGTCTTTTTAGGCACTAGGAGAGTGTTCACCAAACGTAAGACCGTGGATACTAGGTGTGGTGAACGAAGCAACGAAGCTAACTGAACCAGCACACGTGTACCTTCTAGAGGATGCGTTGGAGTTATGGCTGGCTATATTGGAGACTTCGCTAGTGTGTGACCCGGCCACTTTGCAGTTGGCTGATAATCTCTACCCTATTCTAGGTAAGATAATAGGAGTATATATTTTTTTTAATAATTTTTAATTTTTTTTAATTTTTTTTTTATTAATAATAGACACACGCTTGGTCACAATCTCGCCTGATGTTAAGCGACTATTCACTAACGACGGTGCGCCTAAAAAACGCCTATTCACTCTTGTCTGGAATACCCAAAAATAGCCCCAATTGTATTCCATTCGTTTGCCGCAAGTAATCAGAAAGGAGGAAGCAAAACGCTTAGTGCGATTGGGTGGTATATTAACGACATAAGGATGGAGTGTTCCGGATCTTCTAGTCGAACGGAGGAGGAACGGTGAGGGTGGAACTAAATTGAAAACCGACAAGCAAGCTACTTTTCTGCGATGGTCGAGATTTTGTAGCTCCGACTCAACAAGAGAGTTGTTGTTAATAAGGCTCTTTGCTTTTCTCTCCACCGAGTCCAAGGCAGCTAACTGATAATGGGTAGAGCCGTCCCAAAGGTAGCAGCAATACTCCATAAACGATCGAACTTGTGCTTGAAGTACCAATAACTTATAGGGTGTTGACATAGATTTATGTAGGTGAATGGACACGATAACAAATCCGAACCACCTTAAGAGCTGTACCAGCTTAAGAAATAAAACTGTACACTGTACTGTTTACAGTTTTATTTCTTAATGTAAACTTCGGAATTATTAGTTTTTGTGGTAGCTGGCTATTGCGTTGTCATTATGCTGCTGTTATGCATTCTGAGCCTAGTGTATTTGGTAAGGTGGTATGGTATATAGAAACTTGACTTGATAAAAGTACGACGTTTTATGGTGTGTTTACATAGGGTCGACTGCCGCCTTTGATAGACTACCTCGCTTTGCCAAAGGACGTGCAATCGACTTGAAGTTTACATCGTTTCAACTACCGCCACCTCGGCAAACGAATTAGGCTGACTAAAGTTAGGCGTCCACGGATCCGCAGCGCACGCATCAGACGGATCGCATTATACGGATTTTAGTAGTCTTTGTATAAAAGTTCATACAACTGCGTCCACTGATCCGCATCGCGCGAACCGCACGGCCTGTCGGTAATGCCGACGCAATTGCTCGGAGGGGCAACTTTTCAGATGCGTGCCGACGACGTCATATGGATTGCGTATCAGTGGACGCACACCGCGCGTGCGCCGCCGCGTTGCGATCTCTTCTTAAATATGTCATGTATCCAGATATCATGTTTCCTTTTTTTTTACCTTCTTTCTTCTTCTGCCAACAAACAAACCACCACCACAATTGTCCTTCACCACTTTTCAAATCCATTGTCTCGCACACACAAGTTTCACTCGTCCGCTCGCTACGAAAAGTGGCGACGGCAATCCGATTGCTGCGGATATAGTGGACTCACTGCCACAAACCGAGCTTGATGCGATCCGTCCGATGCGTGCGCTGCGGATATGTGGACGCTTAAGGTGTAGTAGTCGATGCGCTGTTTACACCGAGTCGATTGCTGCGTTCACTGGAATCACGAAATCAATAAATACAACGATTCGGTCGCAACGTCTAAACTGTACTCTGATTCAGAACTCTTCGATATTTTAACCGAATCGATCGATTGGATATCGTTCTCGAATCGAAGGGCTCTTTCCGAGCTATTCAGAACATTCGAGTTAAACGTTCGATTCGGATTCGGATACGATATCGTTAACCAACAGAGTTTACAGTTAGTCGGTGAAATAGATAATAAGAAAAATGAAAATCCTTTTAATATACATTTTTAAGACTTTAAAGGTTTAAAATATAGGAGCGCATTAGTCTTGCATTAAAATAAATTAATAAAATTGAACAAAATCCAGATTTTATATAAAATAAGAGATTTCCATATTACATTCTTGCTTTGTAAACAATAGGACGTTCGGTAACTTTCATTCGAACTGTTGAATAACATTTGTAGCCTTTGCCGGTCGAGAAGTTCGAATACGATGGTTTGACGTTTGTTTCGGTTGTTGTGAATACTAAATTAAAAGAAATGGTACGATATCAAATCGAATCGGTCGACAATTGAGTTATCGTAAGGTTCTGTATCGACCCCCTGATCGGGTAGTTAGGTAGGTATATTCCTACCTACTCGATCTCCAACGTAGAATGCGGCCGCGGACACGTCGAACCTTGTTTGGTCGACTGTTGCTTGCCGAAGGCGACTGATTCGCCAGACCGTGTTTACACCTTGCCGACTCGGTTAACTTTGGCAGCGAACTGCCTTTGTCAAACGACTCTGTGTTTACACTGGGTACGCTGCCACCGTCGGCTGGCAATTGGAGGCCGTTTGTTGACCTAGTGTAAATATGGCCCTTATTCCTTACTTATGTCGAATGTTATGTCGTTACTTTTTCCAGAACAATCTTCCGAACATCTCCGAATAGTAGTCTATATAATGCAAGCGTACACCCTTCTATGCCCTGAGGAATTCCTCTCAGGACCTGGAGCCAAATGCATGGCCCTTCTCGAAGATATGTTGGGAGATATGAGGACCGAAGGTGTTATAACGGTGTTGAAGATGGCCGAAATCTGTATAAGCGTTACGTTTCCGGAACGCAATGCGTTCTTGGGTGTGAAGGTTATATGGCCTATTTTGATTAGGGTTATACAGTGAGTATTTTTTCTATATGGCATAACGCTGAATTGAAGTATCATTAATATGGCACATAGGCTTTTTTAAGACATGTTTTTACACGATAAGGACTTGGAAATTAACTTAAATGTTTTAGTATACTGTGGTAAAACAAATGGGGGGGGGGGGGGGGATGTTTTAATTAAAAGAAGTCGTAAAGGAGAAATTACTATTACGGGGAATGTACTACGCCACAGTTATTTAGGGTCTAATAAGTGAAATAAATGATCCAAATAAAGTGAAACTACTAATTTAAAACATTTTGTTATTTTTCTAAATAGCTAGACGTCTAAATAGAATCAAGTCTAATGTACGATGCTTAGAAAGTATTTTATACCTCCCTAAAACATCATCAACCCATTATACAATCCATTATACGACCCACTGTTGAGCACGGGTCTTTTCTAAGGATAAGTCACTTAACACACTTTTCTTTTCATCTTCACACTTTTTTCCGAGAGTTGCGAACCTTCTTCGACATGAAGGTTACATTACGATATTTTCTTTCTCAAACATTCACAAATGAACGTAACTTAGAAAGTGAAGCCTTACATGCTGCCACAAGGTTTCGAACTTAACACTCGACTACTTAACATTTTACACTAATTTCTATTTCCGTATATTTATCGTTATCGTGTCGTATATTGTGAAAATAGATAGCGCGTGAAATGAGAAGGGTATAGTATCGTGTATTGTAAAGACCCATAATGGGTAAAATGGGAAGTTTACATGACTTAAATTGGCAACTTTGTGGTAACATAATTGAATAAAATAAATCTGAAGAAGGTTCTAAAATCTCTCACTAGATGTCACGGGCAGAATGCCGAAACACATAAGAGAATTTCGACAACTCGATAACTTTACCCGTAGCTCAGTTGGTAAGAGCAATACTACGGTGCAGTATGGTCGTGGGTTCAAGTCCTATCGGGTCGAAGAAAATTTTTCTATGTGTTCGACCTTTGTACTAATAATCATAAAAATAAATCTATAAATTATTTCAGCTGTCTACTTGAAGGTGACGACCTACCGATGGTGCTATCGGTCCAATTGTGCCTCCTATCTCGCGTCATTCTGATATCGTCAGATCTGTTCTACAAAGTCGTTCAAGAGGCATCGAATGGCGTGACCGAATACGATTCCGATCCCGCCAAAGTACTGAACAGGATACTGCACGTTTGGACGGAGAAGATGAACTTGGTGACTCAGGTCGAAAGGTGGAAGGTTGTGGGTTAGTAGTACTTTTTTATCGCACCTTAAATAATAAAGCGACATAATTGTTAAAGTTATTGTAGATAGACGAAGCTATATATTATACTCTATCCTTTTTGAAGATGGAGTAACTGTTCATTGCGAAAAAGTGTTGCCCACTTGCTGGTGATTTTTTTACAGACCCCTATTATATGTATATAACGGTAACTGTGTGGAAATGAGTATAAAAATGTATAGATTGGAGTCGATAAATGTCCTATCGACTGTTGATTCCATGTCGATCACGATTATGCAATAAATAATCGAAATTGTTTCATTTGAATCATCATCGGCCCATTATTCGTCAACACACACACACACACACACACACACACACACACACACACACACACA